CCCCCCCCCCCTTCCAACCGTAGCCGATGAACCCCCGGAATTCTATATAGGGGTAGGCCCAGAGCGCCGGCGCGGTTTCCGTCCCAAAAATAGAATTCTACGAGCGAGTGAGTGAGTGGTGTTTCGACACATGCACCGCAAACGGCCGGCGTTTGTACTAGTCGCTGATTTTTTCCCACCCATACCCCACGGGGGACTCGAAACAGACGGATCTCCATCCCCTCGCCTCGTCAATAATTGAATAACCAAGATAAATCACCAACCGCGCGCCCAAATCCGCCAATAAACCCCAAACAGCCGAAAAAAAAATCACTCTCAATCCGAAAACTTAAATTTCGCGAATAAATGTCGGCCGAGTGCACTTGCACCTGAAAATGCTGGATAAAAGCGCCCCCGGAGCCCCCTAAAATGACAATAATTAACAAGAGGTGAATTAAACCAGTGATTTCCGGTGTTAAAAAACAACCGAGAAAAATGTAATCGGATAATCCACCGCGGAAGTGTGAGTGGGGGGGTGGGGGAATAAGAACTTCCGAACAACTGATTACATAAACGCTCATCTCATTAACTTCCTCCACTCGTGAATAGAAGTTTATCAATAATTCTGAGCACGTGGGGTGGGCGGGGAGGGGTCGAGTGAGTACTCTACCACGTGGAAATTGCCGAGGCCTATTAAGGATTTGTTTGAATAGACGGAGAAATGTTTTTTTAACTATTTAGCTGAATCGCGCGGGAGTTGACGATGATTGGGATTTTTTTTTGCCACTGAGGGGGGGGTTGTAACGGTGTAATGGCGCTTGTTATGCTGCCCTGTGATCTGCCGTGGTGGCCAGCTGTTGTTAAACAGCTGGACAGAGCGGCTATTGCGAGAAATTCCAAGGATCTGCTGGATGCTATGCGGAAAATTCATGATATGTGCAAGTGAGTGAGGATTTTTGGTGGGGATTTGTTGTTGGGGGGGCGGCTGGGGGTGGGAGGGGGAGAGGAGAAGGAGAAGGAATTTTTGAAAGAATTTTTTGGGGTACAAAAATGGTCGTTTGGTGTTTTGGTTTCATTTGGTGGACTTCGTTTTTTGGTCTTGAATGAGGTGAATGAATTTTAGATATTTTTGGGAAATATCTCAAGATCTAAGGGAGATAGGAGAAATTTTCGCAAGACCTTCTTTATAGATCGTAAAATTCTCTATAGAAAGTGTTTTTTGATGTTTTTGCTTTAGTCTGATAGTTTTGGAGATATTTGCGAATGAAAAAACATCATTTTTTGGTCCTGCTAGAATGAATTTTGGAGAGTTTTGGGAAATATCTCGGAATCTAACGGAGATAGTGAAAATATTCCGAGAACCTCTTTTGTAGACAATAAAATTCTCTACAGAAAAGGTATATTGTTGTTTTTATTTCAGAACGATAGTTTCGGAGATATTTACAGATGAATAGAAAACTTTATTTAGCCCATGAAGTTCCCTCAGAAAAAGGTTCTCATGAAAAATTCGTCATTTCTCTCAACTTTACAGATATTCATCGAAAACTTCCTCATGCGGATAGCAGAGTTCTTTTAAAAACCGTTTCTGTTGAAAATTTCATAGTCATCAAAAAGTTTTCTTCGTGTTTTGGTGCAAATGCATAAAATTTTCTCATTTCCCCCGAAAACAAGAGAAATTCCCAGATGAACAAATTGAATATGAAATTTTTCTCACTTCCTTAATTACCGCGAAATTCGTGAGAGATAACAGAAATTTCATAAGAATCTTTTTTATGCAAAATTTCATGCGCCACAAAAGAGTTTTTGTGACATTTTCATTCAACTCCACTAGTTTCACAGATATTTTCAAAAAAATTAACAAGAAATTATTGCAATCTTCTCAAAACAAAATGAATCAACTTAACATTCAATTTTTTGTAAATATCTCGGAATCCATCAGCGATAGTAAAAATGGTCATAATAAACTTTATTTAGCCCACGAAATTCTCTTCAAAAAACATTCTCATAAAAATTCCCCATCTCTCTTAGCTTCAGAGATATTCATCAAAAACTTTCGTCAAGTGTTCTCCTAGCTCCAGCTGTTTTTGTATTTCCTCATACTATTTTTATTTTCCTCGAGGTTTTAAATGTCTCGAATCTTTAAATGCCTCCATCGAAGCTGGGGATACAGGGAGGAATGGGCGGCGGGTGATGGATCTTTAGGGTGCGAAAGTGTTAGGGTCTATATTAATCCTATGATCTCATGAGTTATTTCTCCTTTGTACCCGGGGGGGTTTAGCCCAAGCGATAGAAATGTCTCTCATTTGTTCGCATGAGTTTGTAGTAAAACGACGGATGCCAAGACTATCCGCAGTGGGATAGTGGTAGTTTATTTTCGGAATGATGGGTATTTCGAAAAACGCTAGGTGCCGGGGTTGGAACAACCTTCGAGGTTCGTCGCACTCTTCCGTTTTAACTTCTTCCTCTTCCGGAGCGAGTGCTCTGCCAGGCCAACACAAAGGCTTTTGCAAATTTGTTTGGTTGGGAAAGGCGTGAACATGTGTAACGTTGTTGGATAGTTTGGAGATTTATTTATCATGAGAATTATGGAGTGAAGAGATTATTAATCGAGCAATTCATTAGCAAAATGAGAAATTGTGGAAATTCAAATTGGATTTATTTATGATTTTCGAGCCTTTGGGTTTATTTCAACAGGATTTTTGTTGGAAACTAATAAACGAATGAATTTATTTCTACGAAAATTATTCGGTTGTATAAAAAAATAATTCAATCGTTTCAAATGAATCATCTGGAAGGATTGAATGAACAATTTATTTTATGTGAAGAAAAACTCGCCTTCGGCTAGTTTACTTTGTGGGCCTAATGATGAAATTTTCTATTATTTAAGAGGCCTCATGAGTAAAAACAAGTGGGACATTGCTTTTGTCAATGTTGCCTCAAGGTTGACAGCCAACATTGCCCCAACGTTGGCAGCCAACATTACCCCAACGTTGGCAGCCAACATTAACCCAACGTTGGCAGCCAAGATTGCCCCAACGTCGGCAGCGAACATCACCTTAATGTTGGCAGTCAACATTGGCCCAACGTTGGCAACCAACATTGACCCAACGTTGACAGCCAACATTACCTTAATGTTGGCAGCCAACATTGGCCCAACGTCGGCATCCAATATTATCTTAAAGTTGACAGCCAAGATTGCCCCAACGTTGGCGGCCCACGTTACCCCAACATTGGCAGTCGACATTGCGCTAGCGACGGCAGCCAATATTGGCCCAACGTTGGCTGCCAACATTAACTCAACGTCGGCCGCCAACATTGCCCCAACGTTGGCCGCCAACATTGCCCCAACGTTGGCCGCCAACATTGCCCCAACATTAACATTTTTCGCCTTTCCCTAAATATTGGTTTCAAAATAAATTTTTCCAAAATGACGTTGGGAAAAAAAATATTAAATCACAATTGGATTCATTTAAACAATTATTTTTTCAATTATCGTCGAAAACCGATCGGTCAAAAATAGTATATTCAAACTCCAGAGGCCAAAATTAGTTATCCTGACACGAAAAATTGGAAATTTCCTACTTGACGAATGCAATGCTTCTATTCGAAAGCAAAAACTACTTAAAACGGAGAATTTCTCTGAACTATTACATATTTACCGAGAAAGAAAAATCGAATATTCTCTTATATTTCATCACTCCACAACTCCATTACCGCTATAATAATTATCTGTTCATATTGATCTCCACCATTTCCCCGTCTTTACTCATCCACTCTCCTTTCTTCTCAGTATAAGTTTGGATCCAGATGAGGACGAGCAAGACCCCAATCTATTTACCGGCCTATCAAAGTACATTGACGAGGATCTCGGTCCGGGTGAACGCGAGCAGCTATTTACCAAGACAATACCCCGTATTGTGGAGAGAGCAAAGGCGCTGAGAAATACTAAACCACCTCAGGGGCTTTACTTCAGTCTGCAGCAACAAGGTGACCCTTTACCCCCATTCCAAGCAATCGCTCCATCTAATGGATCCGCGAAAAAAAACACGACATACCATCATTACCTTGTTTTTCTCCAATTACCCTAGGTGATAGCGTCGAGTACACGTATGGATTCGCGTCGGCTCTGGTTGCGAATGCCTTCTTCTCGACTTATCCTAAACGAACGATTAAAACACATCCAACGCTTGGGGACTTCAACTTCACAAATTTCTTCAAACATTTGCATCTGTGAGTAATTTTTGGTGGTTATGGGGGGGGGGGGTAAAATGGAATACCAGGGAAAGTTGGGATTTTGCATAATTCAGGAGACTTTTTGTTTTGTGAGTTGAGGGTCAAATGACCCTCAAGGCTAATTGGAGATGAGGGTCAAATGATTGTGAGGGTCAAATGACCCTTAAAGACTTTAAGGTCAAATGACCCTTTGTGATCAGTCTGCTCCAAGCCGTGCGACCCTTAAGATCATTTGACCCTTAACCCCAAACGTTGTTAAGGGTCGTTACATCCTCAAAACCATTTGACCTTCAACCTAAGATGGCGTCGAGGGTGAAACAATGCTCAAGGATGTTCAGAATTGAGGTGCAAATGGTGATAAGGGTCAAACAACCCTTGAACACGTGTAGGGCTAAGGGTCAAACGACGCTTTCCGGTCGCTCTACTCTAACTCCTTTGACCCTTAAGAGTATTTGACCCTTAACCTTGAACGTCCTCAAGGTTTTGACCCTCACAATCTTTTGATCCTCGACTTCAAACATCCTTAAAGGTTGATTGACCCTCAAGACCATTTGACCTTCAACTCCACACCTCCTTAAGGGTCGTTTGACCTTCAAAATCATTTGACCCTCGACTAAAAAAAACAAAAAATCAATTTTCTGAAATATACTAAATTTCATTTTAAGCCAAGTTTTACTTCATCCTTTCGTTTTGTTTCATCCTTAAAGGTTGTTTGACCCTCAAAACCATTCAACCTTCAACTCCAAACGTCCTTAAGGGTCGTTCAACCTTCAAAATCATTAGGCCCTCAACTAAAAAAACAAAACAAAAAATGTTCTGAATTGCACTAAATTTAATTTTATCCCAATTTTAATTTTCCCTTCCTCTCCTTCAGAACAATGCACTAAAAAATACCATAAAACATTTCTGGCTTAAAATTCTCTCCGCTACCGAGTGCAATCCCTATTACATAATTTTTCCTTTACCACCAATAGATGCAGAGATTCATGTAAAACTCACCTTCAATTTTTCTCATTAAGACCATGTTTCGCTGGAATTTTCCCTCTTAAATTCCCTCCAGGAATTCTCAATGCAATGCCATCGATATTCTGCACACCTCTTGAATGCTCACACGCAATTAAATCCACTTATGTCAACTCTTTATGACACACTGAACTTTGCGTGACTCCATCGATTCAAATATTAGTACGTTCACAATCTTTGACCTTTTCCGTAGTACTCCCGGGATTGAAACGTGCGCATGGCGGATGAAAAAAAAGCAGATTCCATTTACCCTCGATTCTATTCAATGCCCCCAGGTACAATAATACACTTGACATTTTTAGGAACAGCCAAAAAGCCAAGCTGTCGAGCATTCTCCAGTACTTTGAGTTTCTTGAGAATGAGTCGGCGCTCGAGGGACGGATGCTCGTCTCCAGGCAGGTAAAATCATCCCAAAATCACCCCAACTAATTATCGAGTGTAATGACTCGCTAGGTATTACTCAGTAATTGAGAGGAAAGAAAAATTTCGATTCTATTTCTTAATCAGTGCACTGAGAGAACAATTAAATCAGCTGGAACGGATTTACTCGAGGAAAATATAATATCTTTCACAAAAATTAAATTTTTGCCGTGATCATCAGAAATATTCCTAGAAGAATTTGAACTGTTGCCAGGAAAGAATATAATCAGGAAAACATAAAAATATAAAAATATAATCAGAGTTTAAGGGGAATAGATAAATTTTTGTGGCGACATTTTTGACGAAAATTTCATGAACTGCTTTCTTTTCATTTTAAAGGGATTTTGTCATTCTTCAAAATCAAGTTTGACGGATACGAAACGTATCGTTTCATCAGAAAATGTCGATGAATTGAGCAAATGCATTTTATCTTCGAGTATTTTAAAAACGAGCCAAATCAATTAATTGGAAACTCAAATTTTTAGGAATATCTTGGAATCTAACAGAGATACAGAAATTTTCGTTAAAATAATTTTTGTAGCTCATAAAATTCCCCACAAAAAATTTCTTCAGAAGAATTTCACCAAATCCACTAGGTTGGAAGATATTCAGCAGAAACTGAAAGCGAAATTCAGTCAATTCTCCGTTTTCCACATCGAGGCAAAAGATTATTGAGAAATCCACGATTCAATACTTTTCATGTACAGGTAATGACATCCAAACAATGGCTCACTATAGAAGACTGGCTAGAGAGCAGCGTGCCCTTATGCCCTCTGAGCATCCGTCACACTGGACGAATGGAGAGGATTGACATCGACACCAAAGTTCTTCACGTTTGCTTCGCAAGCTCAAGATTCGGGGATGGAGCGCTCGAGGATGGTGTCAATCAAGAAAGTGTACATGTAAGTAAGTATGTCACTGTGGAAATGCGCTTCGAGGCCTTGATCCAAGATGTTCAATTAATCGAGAACAGAAATAGCCCAGAACATTCGATTTTTCACTTCTTGCTAAATATGGAATTGAAATCTCGTGGAGAAATCATGTGGAACAATTCAGAGAACATTTTTTGGTTGGAATTTCATACAACACAAGTCGCTTGATATTTTGACATTTCCCAGAAAAATATAATGAATGAAACAAGTGGAAAATTGCTTTCGTCATAACATGGCCAATTTATTTTTGATAATAAATTAGACGATATATTTTGAATTTAATTCAATGATTCATTTAATTCATCATTGCCCTAACATTAGCCGCCGACATTGGTCCAATGTTGGCCCAGCGTCGGCAGTCGACATTGGCCCGACGTTGGCCCAAGGTCGGTTGCCAACATTATTCCTGTGTTGGCCGGCAACATTGCTCCAACTTTGGCAGCCAACGTTGTCCCAACCTTGCCCCAACATTGTTCTAACATCGACAACCAACATTGTCCCAACGTTGATAGCCAACGTTGCCCCAACGTTGGTCGCCAACGTTAGTTGCCGACATATCCCCAACTTTGGCAGCCAATGTTGTCCCAGTGTTGCCCCAACGTTGGCAGCCACCATTATTCGAACATTGGTTTAAAAACAAATTTTTTTCAACACACAATTTGATGAATTTGACAAATCAGTAGCGAAGTGGTAAACCCGTATAAGTCGATTTTGACTATTGGCCAGTTTTCAAGAAATATCTCAGAATCTAAGGGAAATAGCGAAATTGTTGTAATTTCCTTTTTTGTAGCTCTCAATTTGCTCTACAAAAAAGGTTATGAAAAAAATTTTGTTATTTCACTTAGATTTTGAGATATTCATTGAAAACTGGGCAATAGTCAAAATCGACTTATACCGGTTTACCACTTCACTACTGAAATACAATGCTTCCATTCGCAAGCAATATCAAAAGACATTTTCCTTCAAATTGAAAGCAATGAGATGTGAAACCCCGCTGATGAATTGTATGAGATTATCTGTAATGGAGAAACCCTTCGATAGAAAATTGAAAGAATTTCTTTCACAGATATCAACGCATCCGGAGATGCTCGCTGTGATACTGTCGGTGGAGGCCTTAGAAGACAACGAAGTGTTGATTGTAGAGGGTGCTAGACACATATCGCGTATCAATGATCCTAAGAACAGGGCGATTTACGAGAGCATACCTAATCCAAACCCTGTGAGTTTGAAATTATCCACTTAACATGTGACGATAAATTTCATAGAGAAACCTAGAGAATTCCAATGGATTTCTATTACATTTCTGTGGACAATTTTGGGGAAAACTTTCGCAGTTTACTAGAACTTTTTTTATCGAAAATGTCCAATAGAAACCAATGTCCAATAGAACCAGCAAAAAATTAATAGTTCAATAGAAATGCAACAGAATTTTCTGCCGAATTCGCTGGGTTTATAAATTTTTTCTCCCGAAGATATTACTTTAAAAAACCAATTTTGAGTGAATTTTCACCACTGAATTGTCTCCCATTCGTCTGAAGGAATGGAAAATGAGCCATAATATTTCACAATTATCTCGAATCCTCAGGTGACTGTGTGTTGTATGGACCCCGAGGACTACTCGAAACTCCCTCTGTCGCAATTCGAAGAGGACAATGTCCTCCGAGAAATGAACAAATCCCTGTTGGCTTTTCGTCAGAGGCACGCACCTGGCAGTCCCACTGACACGATTAAATCCGATTCAGACGCTGATGGGTGTCCCGCCACTAGGAGACTGTCTCCCATTGGCGAGAGCTTCAGCAGTGCCTCACCGGAAGTCGAGACTGAGGATAAAAAAATCGCTAGGACAAATGGAAAACTAGGTAATTAGAAATTCAACGAATCAATGTTTTTCAAATGTCTCGGAAAGTGAACGAAATTTTTAACTTTTGACTCATTCCCAGAACATGATAAATTAATTTCATTTGACGATCAATTTTTTTAGCATTAAAAAACATTATTATTATTATTATTTATTTATTTATTTATGTGCTTCTGGTACACGGTACCAATATAGAGGGGGGGGGGACACTTCTTTTCATAAGTTTATGTAACGCCAAAAAAAAACAGAATAATATAACAGAGAAGTAGTTAATTCTGCATAAGTGAGTGATAAAATTAGCTAAGTACTTAATTTCCTGGAATATAATAAAACAATATAATAAAAATTTATATACTTTGTTTTTGTTTTTTTTGTTTTGTTTTTTTTATTTTTTTTGCTTTTTTAATTTTTTTTAAAATTAATTATTATTAATTAAATCCATGAGAAAGCAAAAATTGAATAATTGCCGTTGAATTGAATTTAACGGCAATTATAATTTATTGTAATTATAATTTATGGCTATCCCTGCATTCACAGCGAATTCTCTAGGTTTTTTAGTGAGATTTTTTCGCAGGCGATCTCTCAGAATAAAATAATCCTCATTTATCTTTCTTCTTTTTCATCGTCTCCTCGACGAAAAACAGCCCATTAATTTTCTATTCCCTTTCTTTTCAGGTTCCAACGAGACATCCAGTCCCGAGAGAAACACCAACGAGCGACCGAGGCCGAACGGACGGTCCACCAGGTCCCAGAGCCCCGGAAAACTGGGGAAAAGTACAAGTAGCGCTAGTAATCGCAGTAGATTCATCGTTTTAGGCTCGAGTGGAGAAGTTTTACCTGTTACCAGGAAATCCCTGGGTCAAATGTCGGTCTATGGGAGCTGCAATAGCCAGAGTAGTGAGAGCTTCCACAGTGCTAAGGACACTATCGACGAGGATTTGCCGGACGACGACGAACATCTCTCGCAGAAATTATCGAGACGATACAGCAATCAATTGGATACACCAGAGCGGAGGGGCACCTTCGCTCAACGACTGAAAGAGGCACTAAATAGGGAGAGCACTGCCACCGGATCATCCGATAATTCCTCCGAGGGGAGTTATGCTGTTGGAATTAATATCACTGGAAGTCATGTTGGAGATCAGGACATAAAGTTCGTATTTGAGAATTGAAATAATTTAGGGTTTCGTTCATCTAAGAATTGGAAATTTAAAGAATGGAATTGACGAGATGAACTGGATTTCACGTCATTTAATTAGGAAACGACAAAATCCGGGAGAATTTCACGGATGAAAAAATTGAAAAGAAAACCCTAGATTCGCTAGACAATTCGCGTGGATTTCTATTGAACTTTCTATTAGTTTTTGATTGATTTTATTGAAATGTTCAAGGGAAAATATTCTAGAGAAAATGTCAAAAGAATTCGATTCCTCTATACAACTTGCTCTATTAAGATTTTTTCTCTAGAATTTTTTGGACTCAAATTTTCTAAGTTTTTTGTTCGATTTTCTTGATGAGGCGAATTGAAAAATGAAATGAACAAAAATTGGAAAATTTGAGTTTGACTATTCACTTTTTCTATTGAATATTTTCTATTGAACATTTCAATAGAATCGGCCCAAAAAATGATTGAAAGTTCAATAGAAATCCAATAAAATTTTCCAACAAATTCGCTATGTTGTTCTATTAAATTTTTTCATGCGTGTTAATTCTGTAATATATTTCAGGGAATAAACTAGGGAATGATTTGTACAATAAGTCATTAATGGTCATTGCACATTTTTTATTTAGACTCAGGAGAGGTGGATCCAGGGGTTTCGTCCTTCGTGATGAAACAGTGGACGAGGACTTCCTGAAGGAATCGCTGGAGGCTGAACAGAAGTGGCTGGGGAGGTTCAAGCAGACGCAGCCTCCAGTGCTGCAGCGGAAAGACACGAATAGCAGCAAATACAGCTTCAGTACAGAATACAGTTCTGGTGAGAATTTTCACACCATTGCATGCAATAATCCCATTATTTTTTATTGAAACTTCAGATTTTCAATTTTATGAAGAAATGAATGAAAACTATGAATTTCAATTCATCATGAAATTCCGTAAAGTTCAGTAAGAATTTGGGAAATTTATTAATTGACAATTTAGCGTAATTTGGTACTGAAGATTCATTATTTATCCCAATTTTCCTATTTTATTATTTCATCTTCCTCATGTCATTTTTATTTACATCCAATTTATAAACAGCCTGAGAAAACTGAAACAATTACTGAAACGTCACATGATGACAATTTAATCAAAAGAATTCTCTATTTCTCCAATCCTGTAATCTTCAACTCATTCCAATGCTGATTCCCTTTTTTATTATTCCCCATTTCTTACAAATTTTTATCAAGTGACAATTTTCCTGAAATACCGTGAAATTTCAGATTTTTTAATCACTTTATTGAAAACTGACAAATTGATGAAGAAATGAATAAAAACTGTGAATTAATTTCCATTAATGGAGAATTCAGCGTAGTTTGGCCCAGGATATTCATGTGATTATTCTAATGTTACTATTTCATTATTTCGTCTTCCTCATGTCATTTTTATTTACATCTAATTTTTAAACAGCCTGAGAAAACTGAAACAATTACTGAAACGTCACATCTTGACAATTTAATCAAAAGAATTCTCTATTTCTCCAATCACATGATCTTCAACTCATATCAATGTTAATCTGAACAATTTCATTTCGGAAGCTACGAAATCCTCATCCCTCCATCCAGCCGAAAAAATCCCCTAACTCGGGATTATAAACTTCAGAATTTTGCTCAGAATTAGAAGAAGTCTACGAGCAACTGTCCAAGTGGCTGGACGATCCAATCGCGAGTGACGAGAACCGAGAGTTGGACGCGAGGGATAGGGCAGTGGTTCAATTCGCAGGATCTCTCCTGAGGAGAGCCCTGAGTGAGTCGTTCGCAGGGGTCCCAGTCCAGGAAGGAGAGCCGCAGCCCCTTCTGGGGCCCAACGATGTTCACCAGAAGCACAAATTAGCGTTGGCTGTCAGGTCCCTCAGCCTTGAGCTCGCGAGGCAGAGGAACAGACGTCAACAATCGGTAATTATGCTCAAAACAACTGGTTGATTAATCGATTTCACACGATTTTTTTTCATTAATCGTTCGAGTCCTGGGGGCATATGAGATGGAATGAGAGACAGTTGACAGTTTTGTGATTCTTTTTGCCTGATGAGGGACTATTCCTCTGTGAAGACGAGGGAATTAATCATTAATGGTTATCAAATTTGTTGATTTAAGGATGATTTCTAGGTTTAAGGAAAAATTACTTAGGAGCAGACATTTTTTGTCTGATTCACGCATGAATAGAGTTCATAGAAAAATTCGTACGAAATTGTTAGGATGATGTATTTCAAATCTAATTCACTGATTCATTGAGTTCAACATTGTCCCAACGTTGGCAACCAACATTGTCCCAATATTGACAGCCAACATTGCCCCAACGTTGGCCGCCAACATTGCCCGACGTTGAAAGCCGGCATTGTCCCAACGTTGGCCCATCGTTGGGAGCCAACATTGTCCCGACGTTGGCCCAACTTTGGCAGCCAACATTGGTCCAACGTTGGCAGCCAACATGAACTTAACGTCGGCAACCAACATTGCCCCAACGTTGGTCCAACTTTGGTCGCCAGCATTGGCCCGATGTTGACAGCCGACATTGTCCCGACGTTGGCCCAACGTTGGCAGCCATCATTGGTCCAACGTTGGCAGCCAACATGAACTTAACGTCGGCAACCAACATTGTCCCAATGTTGGTAGCCAACATTGCCCCAACGTAGACCGCCCGCATTGCCCCAAATCAAGACAAGACAAGAGAAATGGCCCCTCGACTATCATTACCTTTCCCAAAACCAAAAAAATTCTCCCATCCCATATATCAAAAATGAGACTACGCAGGTCACTGATAACGATGATGAGGATGAGGAGTATTCGGACGCCTTGGATCAGGATTTGAGGCGAAAAAAATCATTGTCCGTAACATTCACTTCGACTGTTCTGCAAACACTCTTCGAGGAAGAAGCCACTCTCTATCTTCGATCATCCACTTCTGAAGATGAAGATACTTATTCATCGGTTAAGGTACAGCTTCGTGAGACTGAGGGAGGCGTGGGAACGCTCGCTGGGGATGAGAATTCGGTGAATAGAATTGAGAATTGTTGCAAAGAGAAAATTTATCGCCTCGTGCTGCATAACAATTAATCACCTCTACCTGCAGTTGGTGTAATTACACACTTAATTATCGAGTTTTTTCATTAATAACATCTGTCTCTCGTTCTTATCTGACCTTTAATCGCAACTTTAAGAGAGGGAGGAGGAATGGATGAGATTTTTTCGAGTGATTTGAGTGAATTCTACGTTAATTTTGCATTTATTTTTATAATGATTGGTTTTTAGGAAAAAAACGCTGAGATTTTTTAAGGCAATAGTGAATACATATTTTTCATTAATTAATTCTGCAGAAAATATTAATATCTCTATCCAAAATACTCAAAGTATATCTACAAACCGAAAACGGAGGAATAGAATAAAAAAATATCCGTCGAAAATAGAATAAAAAAGTTTAAATCTAAAAATTATTATAAATCCCAACGATGTGAGGAATTGGTTCAGACCGAAAAAATCAACAGGTAATAATTAAAGTTGAGCAATGTAATTAATTCGATTATTTACAGTTCGTACAAAGATGGACGTGAATAAAAATGAAGATATTGCGGCGAAATGTCAAATTAATTCAGTGAAATCGTACGTGAAGAGGTGATGAATTTTTAGATGAAATTTGCGGACGTTTGTTGTACCGTAAAATTACTAGTGTTTTTTTTTATAAAACGTCAGGAACTATTCTTATCGCTTCCGTAATTTCCTGAAACCACTGATTATGCAGACAATTGCAGATTTAACAAAAAAACGAAAAATGGAATGTTCTGTTGCGTTTCACAACTTCACTACTGATACGATCTTCATGGAGATGTTGAGAGCTATGAGAGGAGATAGAAACATTTGCGTTTTTTTACAGATACCAGGGGATAATAGCGTGCAGGATGGTGGACTGCTGCCAGTGGCAAGTGGTAATTGGGGCTGTGGGTCGAGATTAAAGGGTGATCCCCAGTTGAAACTCGTTATTCAGTGGCTGGCTGCTTCACTCGCTGGAGTACCCAAACTCATTTACTATACCTGTGGACATGCGAGCCTCTCGAAGGTATTTATTTCTATTTTCTGCGCGACAAACGACCCATTCATTAAAAATAAACTCCCCATTTCCTTGACATTGGACAAAATCGTTATTTAAACGTCACTTGAAAACGGGATTGGTTTCTGGGGAATATCTCGTGATCGATGCGAGATAGTGAGATTTTCGACAAGAGCATTTTTGTGGAGAATTTCAAGAGCTAGAAAAAAGTTATCGGTGAAAATTCCGATATCTCCATAAGATTCCGAGATATTCGCGAAAAATCGACAGCACTTTGTGAAAAGAACTAGGAAAAAATGATTGACGTTCAATTTATTTTTCCTAGTTGGACACTGTTAGCAGAGTTCTAACGGATAGAAGATGGTCTGTAGGTGATTTATCAACAGCGATGCTGAGATTCGCTGTGCACACACTCGAGGATAGAGTGAAGGGTAGAAACAGTTTGTTTGAAGAGCTGATTGGTGTTGACAAACCAAGCCCTTAGCCAGACGCTATGCTGTCTGTCATTGTGGACATCATTGCCACCATGATGGAGGACAGCCTGACTGTTGACTCAGAGACTTCGTCGTCGTCGTCTTACGTAAGATAGAGAAGTAATAAAAATCGAAACGATCGAAATTAAAGTGGAGATTGAAAAAACTTATGATTAAATAACAGATTGAAGATTTTTAAAAATGGGTAAATTATATTCATGGCGTTAGGGACGTTGCGTATTTTCGAAAAAGCTTCGTATTTTGACGCTCAAATTGGCAAATAAAAATGCTTGATGACAAATATTAGATCTAGAATATTTTAACAAGTGAAAACAATTTTAGGCTGAAGTTGGGGAGAATTTTGAAGTCAATGTTGAATATATATTTTTCATTAATTAATCCTGAAGGAAATATCAATGTCTGATATATAAAATACTCAAAATATATCCACAAAACGAAAATGAAGGAGTAAAAAATTACTGTAGTACCAGTGCATATCAGCGAACAAATCTACGTGAATGTCGAGCGTCGAAAATAGAATAAAAAATGATAAATCTAAAAATTATTATAAATCGCAACGATCTGAGGAATTGTTTCAGAATGAAAAAAATCAACAGGCAATAATTAAAGTGGAACAATATAATTAATTCTATTTTTTACAGTTCGTACAAAGATAGATGGATGTTAATAAAAATAAAGATATTGCGGAGAAATGTCAAATTAATTCAGTGAAAACGCACGCGAGAAGAGATGATGAATTTTTAAATGAAATTTTAGGAAGTTTGTTGTACCATAAAATTACTAAATTTTTTCATCACTGGTGAATAATAATCATGCTGCTTCGATGTTTAATTAAACACTTTTTCAAAGAATCAAAATTGAAAAAAATATATATAAAATGATAAAAAAATCAATGAGAGTGGCCTATGAGAATTTCTCGATAACGTTTATTCGACTTCGTGGCGAGAAAATCATCAGTGAAAAACAGTTGCAAATGAACTTCTGCAATTGGAGGAATGAAAAGAAAAAAATAAGAGGAAAGTGTGAAAGTATCCGACAAATTGGAGAGAATCCACTTGAGTATTGAACATCAAATCATACGAATTAAATTAAAAGAAGAAGAATGATAAAATTGTGGGTTATAATTATAACATGTAAATTGTATATAATAGAAAATTAATAAATTTTTATCGTATTTAAAGAGTTGAGTCAATCAACCAAAAAAACAACTATCCATCTTCGTTCTTTTTATCTAAATTACTTTAATTCACATTACCTTAAGCTTATCAGTTAGTACAGAGGTTTTTTTGTTTTTCCATAAATTTCCTTGGACATGATATTTACTTTGTAAATCAAAAGAACAAGTTTCGAATGCGTCTCGTGTGTACAGGGCCAACGCCCGCTCTCTCATACAGGAAATTGAATTTATTGACGAATTGATTCATATCGTTGCACCCTTTGGTTATTATTCCGAGGTAGGTGATGAGACCAAAGTCATTGCATTGCTGTGAAAATAAATAAATAAATGTTTAAATTAATTTGCTGCATTGAAATACATTCTTCCGAGTAGATAAATATTTTTCAATTGCATGAATATGAAACTTACGTTGTAAAAATCAGCTTTGAATTTATCACTGTTCAAAACAGGCAGATGATGTGCCAGTGACCTAGCTGCTCTCAATATCTCATGATTAGGCGTTAGTTCACCTGATTCAACAGCCTGGAGGTACATGAGGATGAGTTTGACACGTGAATGAAGCATTTTAATAGCACTGTGCTGTGCCATGAGGTGTTCAACAACTGTTAACAATAATTTATCCATCAGTTATCTCGTTATCCATTGGGGAAATATAGATTCGATGGAATATCTGGTGGGGTCATTACCTAGTGAACTTTCTCCCTGATCATTCGTGCACATTCTGGCGACATGATCAACTCCAATTCTCTCAGCCTCCTCGGTGGCTAGTGTGTAGGTTAAGGGGACAAACAGCATCGTGGCTTCACCATTGACGAGATCAATCACGGACTCGTACATAGAAACTGACAATTGCTGCAAGAAAATTCAAAGATTAATGGATTTGTCTCATTGAACAGCTTCAGGGAGACTTACGTCAGTGTTTCTGGGCCTGGGATCCAGTTTCAACAAAACTGGACTCTCGTTGATTACACACAGTTGCTTATGGACACTGATGTCCCTCTCGTTAGCCTGATCACCAGTTGTGTACCACCCGAGGAAATCCATCTCACTGAACACCTGCTTGAACTGCTCCTCCTTAGTATTGTAGTAGTCCTTATCAATGATAACGTCACCCCCAATCACAGAGAAGAGGAGCTCGAAGGAGTTCATTATCTCGATGTTACGACCCTTTTGCTTTCCAATGAGAGCTCCATAGACTATTGAACGAATGTGACAATCAATTATGAAAATTCAAAGTTAGTTCAATTCTCATCTTATTTTTGACATTCTCTTGGTAACGATTGTTTTTAGCCACTAAATCGATGGAATTGACTGTAAATATTGTTGAGCCGTATCCATCAACATTAATTAAAATTTCATTCCTATATTGTTTTTGAATTTTTGAATTTTTTAAAAAATCGGCTGCCCCATCGTAACTAAAAAAAATGTTCTATATTTATTGAATGACGGCTTTAAAAAATTCTTTGGATGTCTCTTCGAGCGCGTTCGAAGATGAAGGCGATAGCTGTAATCGTTTTTTTGATTTTTAAAATGATTTTCAAAAATTTTGGATTTTATAAAAATTACATTTCCGAGGATATCTTTGGATATCATGCTCTAAATTCATTCAATGATAGCTGAACATATTAGTTTAAAAGCCACTCTGTCGAAGTTGAAACAGCATTACGATACCTATATTCGTTGGTTTGATTTTTATGATGATTTTTGTAAATTTAGAATTTTTCGTAAATTGCTCTGAAAGTGAACTTTCCGATGGTTTCTTCAAATATGTTTCAAATTCATTCCATAATATAGATAGCATCATTCTTCCATTCGATTTGTAAAAGAATTTCGGAAATTATTCTCATAGTATTCAAAAGTTTGTTGATTTTCCATCTTTTGGAAAATTTACTTCCACTGATTATTTGAATAAAAAAAAGAAAGATCAAAATTGATTCAATTATCATTAAAACGACCTACTTCCACTTCACTTTCATCGAATAACTGGATGGTACAGATATATATTAATTCATATTTGAAATTTCATCAAATATTAAACTAAATTAAAAATATAACACAACTGATTAAGAAGAAATTTCATCGAATTTAATAAAATGGTATATAACGATGAATTATATATTATAGAAGCAGATGATGTGCAAAATGACCATTCAGAAGCAAATTGCTAATTTATCAGCAAATAACTGCATTGATAGGGGAAGGTGGGGTAAAATGGTCAGTTTTGATTTTTTTTTAATGTTCATGACGTGCTGAATTGTTCATTCTTCCCCTTTGATGAGCTTTGACTGAGCTCAATTGATAAATCTCCTTCTGACTTATGAATACTTGAAAAAAAGTAAAAAGTGTCCATTTTACCCCGCCCTCCCCTACAAAACAAATTTCCCAATTTTTACCTGTAAAATTCATTCAACATTACCATTAACATCCAATGAATCTCAGTGATATGAGATGAAAAAAATCTCTCGATGAAATTTTGTCAACGGAAAAAAGTCAATCGACTAAATCAAATTCCACCGAACGAATGAAAAAATTAAATTACCCAATTGTTCACTGCCCTCCTGAGCCCTCAGTCTCGTCCAGTGTTCACTGACATTCATAATAACAAGGGGATGAAGACTGATGGAGACTGAGCCCACAGTCCCCGAGGATGCCATGACTCTGCACGTGTTCTGGCTCCCGGAGCCAGCCGACGTCGAGGGCTTCTCCACGGAGGCGGCTACCTCCATGGGGGCATCAACAACACCAGCATTGTTATCGTCCACCTCCATCTCATTAACACTCGGCTGTCCCCCACTCATCTCCACTCCACTCTGTCCACTTTTAGGTTAATTTGTTGATGCACAGGTGCACTAGTGTTGGTCCTCAACTTGTGCGAGTGTCGTTGACATCTGAGAGAGCGTGGTAATCGTAATTGTGGGTATATTCAGTGGTTCATTGCTTTTCGATGAGAAAATACCGGGTCTGGTTCCAGGAACTCTGGAGTGTGGCAGTTATGGACAGTTTTTCGTTTTTTTTTCTTTGTGGGAGAACAGCGACATCTGTGAGGAGAATAATCACGCTGGGTGTCGAGTTTTTTTGGAGGGTTGGTAAGATAGGAAGTGATTTGTGTGATGGGGTAAAGCGTCTGAGGGTCACGAGGGTCGCATTCCTCCCGAAAAAAATTACGCATTTTTTCAAGATTTCAAAGGTCTGAAGTAGCCCTTACGGTAAATTCAAAGATTATTGAAAACTCCAAAAAATTTTAAAAAACTCGATTACATTCGAAACCGTAATTTTTTTATTCCGAATGGAAGCATTGCAATCCCTCAATTTCCACATTCTCTAATTTTGATTGGAAATGATGGACGATGGTCCCTTAATCTGACCTTTTTTATCGTTAATCTGATGCTTATGACTCTTATTTGGTTTCTTAATTTGAGCCTCATTATAGCCCTCATGACCCTTACTCACACCCTAGTGACCCTTATTTGGACCCTTCCTCTGACCTTTGTGACACTTAGTTAGACCCTTAATCTGACCCTTGTTAGCATTATTTGTGACCCTTGTGACCTTCAGTCTCACCCATATGACCCTTAATATGACCCTTGTTACCCTCATTTGGACCTTTAATCTAACCCTTGTGAGATTTAATCTTGTGAACCTTAATCTGACCCATATGACCATTAATCTGACCCTTGTTAACCTTATTTGTGACACTTCTGACCTTCAATCTCACCCACATGACCCTTGATTTGACCCTTGTTACCCTTACGAGGGCCCTTAATCTAACATTTGTGACGTTTAATCTTGTGACCCTTACTCTGACCCTTGTTACCCTTATTTGTGACCCTTGTAATCTTCAATCTCACCCACATGACCCTTAATTTAGCCCTTGTTACCCTAGCGAAGGCCCTTAATCTAACGTTTGTGACATTCAATCTTCTGACCCTTAATTTGAACCGTGTTACCCTTATTTGTGACCCTCAATCTGGTGAACCTTGTGACCTTCAATCTCACCCAGATGACCCTTAATTTGACCCTTGTTACCCTTATGTAGACCCTTAATATAACATTTGTGACATTTAATCTTGTGACCCTTAATGAATAAATATGACCCTTAATAATAAATTCTTATTGTTTCTTTTGACCCTTAATCTAACCTTTGCGACCCTTAATTTGACCCTCGCGATCCTTATTCTGACCCTCATAAACCTTAATCTAACCCTTGTGACCCGGAATCTGACTCACGTGACCCTTATTCCAACTCATGACCCTTATTCTTACCCTCATTACCCTTATTTTGACCTTGGCGACCCTTATTCTAAACCTCACGGCCCTTATTCTGGCCCTTGTGACCCTTAATTTTGGAGTCTTAATTTCGACTACCAAATTTTCATCACCAGAAGTCGTTTTGAATTTTTATAATACATAGGGATATTTTTCAAGAATTAAGTTAAAAAAATATCTTGAGAAATACATTTTTCAAGCTAAGATAAACTTGAAATATTCTCAAGTCTAGCATAAGCTTGGTGAAATAGATTGCTGACCGGAAATGTTTCACTCATTTTTTAATAGAGCATAAAATTCATCTCCGACGATTCCGACATTCCACAATCATCAATCAATGAACGATCGAAGCGGTGATTTGGATGCCGCGGGTGAGTGGCACGGTGTAACGACCAATGCTCTTTCGTATCTCTCAAAACTCATCGCGACAACTCTCGCGCGCGTTTCGTTTTATTCAGTTCGCTCCGAGCCTTCAATGCGCTCAGCTCGCCCGGCCGGTGGTGTACTCACTCCTCCAAGTAAACATTAATGAATAGCATTAATAAAAATCAAATATTCACAATCTGTGTTCAGAGCTAAGTCTAATTGCTAATCAAATCTCAAAGTGTTTCAATCCCATTTTAATTGACGAGTAAATTAACGTGCGAGAGTTCAAGTTCATGCTGAGCACACATCAGCCGGAGAAATATATTTTCTATGCAGGTGATTACGAAGGAATTGAACTGTTTGTAAGTACACAATCTAAGATTGAATGGAAACATTAACATTTCAGGGGAAAAGATGAAATAAATTATTTAATTGTTTTTTTTCATCGATTTCATCGTGAAAAATTCGTGACGAATGGATTTTTTAATGCTGAGAAAATATTGGTTGTTTTTATTTCGAAATTCATTATTAAGATTGAAATAAACAATTACTCAAGAGAATTATAATTTTTTATGAAAAGACTTTGAAATTATTAATTATAAAATTATTTCGGTGATGACTTAGTTTAGGAAAAACTTATCAGATCCGTTTTACCTCTGCCATAAATTGCCATAATCTGCCATAATTATACTTAATCGGAAGAAATTCAAAGTTGCATAAAAATCCTTTGAATTGATTAATTATTCAATTATTTCGGTAATAGATCTTTATTTTAAAGAATGCCATTGGTTGAATAAGCTTCTCTAAAAATTTTCTCATAAATTGATTCATTTTCCAGACAGTTGCATAATTAACACTGATGAATTCCAGTACTGGAAAATTCTTTGAGAGTATTAATTGTTGGATTATTTCGGTAATGTGTGAGTTTAGAAAAAAATTATCAGAGCATTTTTATAGAGAATTTCATCACCTGAAAAAATACTTCCGGGCATTTTCTTCTAAAATTACTCATTACGAAGCCAATTACCGAATTATGTCCCGTGACATATATAATATACTTGATACAAGTATATTTTATACTCGAATGGGGGATGGCTGTTTCAATTCGAGAATGATTATTTCGTGTCAGCCCGGGTTGTACCAAGCGCTCTCAAGTGTAATATAAGGGTCAGACACTAAGTGTGAGAATATAAGGGTCAAAAAGCGGAGGTTAAAAAATGAGGGTCGGAATATTAGAGTCAAAAACTGAGGGCCTGAATGTAAAGGTGAAGGAATGAGGGTCAGAATGTTAGGGTTAAAAAAAGAGGGTCAGAATATTAGGATAAAAAAATTAGGGTCAGAATATAAAAGTAAAGAAAGTGGGTGTCAGGCAATGAGGGTCATATAAGGGCTAAAAACGGTGATCAAGCATAATATATGACTTATATTTAGACCCTCATTGCCTGACACCCACTTTTTTTACTTTTATATTCTGACCCTAATGTTTTGACCCTAGTATTCTGACCCTCATTTTTTAACCTCCACTTTTTGACCCTTATATTCTGACACTCAGTGCCTGACCCTTATATTACACTCAAGAGGGCTTGCTACAACCCGGCCTGATACAGAACAATCATCTTCGAATTGAAATACCCATCCCCCAAATGAGTATAAAATTTACTTGAATCAAGTATATTTTATACTCAATTCAGGTTTTTTTGTCCGTGGAAGATAATCACTTGATTATCCCAGATGTTAATTTCCTCTGAAACCCATTGTTTACACTCGCCACTCATGATTCTCCATGCACTCGTTGCACACACATGCACCAGTGTCTCCCAAGGTCGATCTTTTCACAGGCTCATGCTTCATGACGATCGCAACTAAAGCGTGAAACTCCTATTGCACTAGAAACCCCACAAGTTCAGTATCCAACGACATATCCATGTTCATTACGCATGCAGTTCTCATTTTTTTTCTCATTGAAAGCCTCCGCATTACTCGGTCGGGACCATTCGAACATATCGCTGAACACTCTGAGCAAAAAGATCAAATTTCATTAACAATTTAGTTACTATTTTCAGGAGAGCGACATTAAATTCAATTCAGCGAGGGGGGGGGGATCTCGACAATTAAAAGGTCAAGCATCTGGGGGTCATGAGGGTCACAATAGTGAAGCGATACGCAGATATAATTAGTAAGAAATTAACTCATTTCTCAAGTAATAAATGAAAAACACGAATGGAAGGAGAAATTAGAAAATAAAGACTTTGAGCGAGGAAACTCAATAAAAAAGAATTTTTCTGATTTCTACTAATTTTTTATGGAATAATTGAACTTAAACTCAAAGTTTCTTTTCATTTTTTCATCAAATTCTCAATTTTCAATTACGAAATTCGTTCAATTTTTTATTGAGCTGTCACTTGATGAAAATTTTCGTGAAATGTACCGGAAATTGCAGCTGAAGATTTTTAACAGCGGAATAATTTTAAGGAGAGCGACAATGAATTTCATTGGAGGGGGAATATTGTATAATAAACTTCATAATTTTAACCAAAATTCACTGGAATGCGATATTTTTAAACAACAGGAATACTAGAATTCCTAAACTTACTAAAATTGTCAATCAAAACGTGAATATTCAAGGATATATTCACCTGAATTTCTCTAATTTCGATTAATTTCTGTAGAATAATTTGACTGAAATTGACATGTTTCATTGATTTTTCAATCAAATCACGAATTTTTCATGCCGAAACTCCTTGAAACTCCAATAGAACTGCTACTTGATAAAAATTTCTAAGGAGTATACTGGAAATTAAAACCAAAAATTTACGAGTATGGACACAATTAATTTCGTCAATTTTGCTATTTGATAACCGTTACAAACGCTCATTTCGAGATGTTTTATTATTCTCAATCTTTAAATTCGCGGATTTCTGCGGATAACCTTGAGGATAATTTTGGTGCTTACTCTTCTGACAATTGCAGTCGCCAGGAAGAACTAATTACCCGTGTGTTTACATCCCTTTCCTCTACTCACTCAGCCGTCATTGTCCACGCGGTCTATTATTTTATTTTTCGCTATTTTTCGCGTCACGGTCGCTTTGTTGCACGACAGGAGATCGTTATCTCCGACAGTCGATGCAGTTTATGTACGTTTCGAAGTTATAAATTCGATTATGGAGTTGTCGAGGTATTCCAAGAAATTAAAACGATCGATTGCTCATGATCCAATTCATAAATAATGAAATAATGAATTAAATCATGAATAAATAAATAATGAATTGATAAATAATGAATTGGATCATCACCATTCGTAATTAATTTCTTTGGCGATATAATAAAACAATTCGATATCAAGAAGTGAAATTCAGTTTTGAGGATTAAAGAAGAATTCTTTTTAAAAATTGATGCAGGAATTAAAAATCGATTGTCACAGTTAATTGTTGATCTTTTAATTGAGTTCATTTAATTATTTACACTTTTCTAGAATTTACAAATAATTTATACCTTTTATTATTTTAGTTTTTAATTTCAAGTGAAAATATTCAACGACTTTTCCCACTTTTAAGCAAAATTTGTGATTGAAAAACGGCAGTGCGACGTATGGAGGATTTTTTTTATAAATGAAAGGGGAATTTCGGATTTCAGAGGATTAAGTCATTAGGAATTCACTCGAGAATCGTTTCAACGCAAAAAATTTTGTAATTGATCCATAAGTCCTAGAGAAGTGGAAAAAATGGAAAGTGAAATTTATTTTTGAACATCAAAGAAGAATTATTTCCAAAATTCGATGCAGGAATTAAAGATAGATCGTCACAATTAATTGTTGATGATTTATCTGAATAAATCAAATTATTTACACTTTTTTTGAGTTGACAAACAATTTGCACTTTTTATCATTCAAATTTTTGATTCAAAATGACAAGATTCAACTATTTTTAGCACTTTTAATCAAAATTTGTGATTGAAAAAAAAATCAGAAAAGTGGACGATTTTTTTTAATGAATGAGGAAAATTAATTAATGCATTAACAATCGATTCGAGAAGTGTCTCCACACGCCATTTTTCGTAATAAATCTCCCAATAATCACTCTGGAGTCCCAGAAAAATGTAAAAAAAAATAATGAAAACGAAAAACGAATGAATAAACGGATGAATCAATTTGGGTTTTGATTATTGGCCAATATTGAATGAATATCTCGGAAACTAAGGCCGATAGCAAAATTTTTGTCATAACCTTTTTTGCAGAGCAAATTAAGATCTACGAAAAAGATGGTGACAAAAATTTCGCTATCTCCCTTAGATTCCGAGATATTTCTTAAAAACTCGGATGAGAGCCAAGTATACTTGGACCGTTTTACCGCATCACCGCTGAAATAAATCAGTAAATAAAAGAATTCATGATATATGAATGCGTAAAAATCAATGAAGAATAACCTCCGATTGAATGAAGAATGATCATCAAATGAGTCAATCGATCGAATCGAATGTAAATGTCATTGGGAGAATGGAGTGCATGACAAATCCCATCAGAAATTTTTTTTCATCTGATTAAAATCAGAGATCCATCTAGGGCATATCGAAAGGGACAAACGAGGCCGGTTATAAAGGACAGCTGTGTCATTAGGTATCTGTATCAGTCTCAACGGGGGAATCACAACTACGGAATTGTGACGTCACGGGTAGAGAGAGCCGAGGTACGAGATTTTAAGTAGGTTAGGTGTCTGGTGCGTCGGCCAACCGAAGACACCGGGCCATCGGGCACGAGACATGCGATCCGCTCAATCGGGGCCTTTCCATCCACGGCAATTAAATTTAAATGCGAGGGAATTATAACCCCTCCCCATCCCCGTTCGCCTGATGACCATTTTCAGGTTCACAATATTTTTAATTTAAAAAATGCTAAGTAAAAGCCATTGAAGTATGAAGCCATTTCAGTGTGAACATGACTTGAATTTTGAAAATTAAAATCTGACATGAATTCTGAAGGATAGTTGATGTGAATAGGAACAATCTGGTTGAGTTTGTGCTCAATTTACAGTATTCTAAGAGAATTAGAATTTAGAGAGAAAAAATTTCCGCTTCACCCAGCCGGGAATCGAACCCGGGTCTCCCAGATACGCGCCGGGCACTCTTACCGACTAAGCTACCGGGAACCACAGAAATTCACTCTCAAATTCACCTCAAACACCGCCTAACCTCCTTTAGGCATTAAAGAATTCTAAGAGAATTAGAATTTAGAGAGAAAAAAATTTCCGCTTCACCCAGCCGGGAATCGAACCCGGCTAGTAGCGAAACGGAAAAAAAATATACTTGAATTGAGTATAAAATATACTTGAATCAAGTATATTTTACACTCAATTGGGGGATGGGTATT